CTATTCCTTGTGTTCTGATTCTTTGCTCCAGGAATTTCAATCACAACGTTGAATGTTAAAGAATCCTAACTAGAAAAGATTACGGCAATAATGTAATAAAGACTACAGCTCCCATGATCACACGCTACTCTACATACCCAATTTACTCGGTTCTTTTTGTTCTGATTGAGTGTCAGAAAATAACATATTGTGCGTTTAATACATTTTGATCTCAAAGCAGAGCAGCATGTTTTACTCTTCGTTACCTCCCCTGAAAACCATATTAAACAGATTGTGATCATTTAACTGCTTCTTATCCACCTCTGCCTTGCTCATCTGTCAACAGGAGCCTGTATAGACAACACGCTGCTGAGTGCACAGGGGGTGGTGAGCTACTCCAAGCTGCCCTCGGTGGCTGTGGTCCAGGGGGAGCTGGTCAGTGGGCTGACCCTGCTGACCTCCCAGACAGCCGCCATGCTGCAGCGCCACCCGGCCCAGCTCTCCGCTCTCCTGCAGCAGCACGTCAAACAGCAGAGCTCCGAGGGAGCCCCTAAAGCCCAGGAGGCCACGTAGAGCTGGAGTGGAAACAATGGGACTGTTGCAGATTTCCAACTACTTGAAATTACAAGGGAACGTCGGCTTGGATGCATATTATGCAATTTCTTGTAGTGAAGCACCAAAGAACAAGGCAGATTTTTAAGATTACTCCACAAAGAACAAGTTGTTGGTTTACTCAATCTCAGAGCATGGTGTTAAATTCAACTAATTCAAACAATGTGCATCCACCAATAGGAGCACTGTGGCTGCTGTGAAAAAGCTGCTTTCCGTGCTTCTCAACCTATCAGAGGAAGTCTTGGACGGACAGAGCTGAAACATGTCAGTGTCTTTCATGCAATTCCTTAGTTCAAGGATATTGTCACACATAAATAAACTATGTAAACATAATGTATTGCTTAGTCTCTTTTTTTTGGAATTTGGATTTAAGAATTGCAGGATTACTAAAAAATGCATAAAAACAAGAGTTTTTAGTCATCTCTAAATTTAGATTCAGTGACAGAAGTTTTGTAAAGTGGAACCACGAATGCCACTCCAGCCAAAATAAACACAAGTGGTCACAGATCTGTTAATCTGCAGATTAGGGCATGTTAATCTGGGTCAGTTAGTCTGTAATGGCCGCCTTTACAAGGCAGACGAACACTATTCAGGCCAATCACTCCATATCATATCAGAGGGAACATCAGACCGTATACTTTTATAAACGAAATGTTTGTACATAAATGTACATGATTTATACAAAACACTACACACATAACAACAAATAAAGTAAAAAAAATGTTTTGGCCAGATTCACAATAAATCAGTACAGCATCTATTAGAGTGGGAATCAAAACAATTATAATTACAGGAGCTCAAAGGTTTTTTAAAGCATTGAATTTTGTTTGTGAATTTTTTTGTTAATTTTTCTATTTAGTACGTGCTGTCTGCATTTTTGAAATCATCGATTTGCAGATGTTCTTTAATTTAATTATCACAAAAGATACAAGCTGCAGTCACCTGCAAACTATTAAGGTGATGAATAATACAAATTTTAATCTGCATAGAATGATCGACAAATAAGTAATTTACACCAAAAATGGATGCAAGCCTGTACCTTTCCCCCTTAAATACCACATTTGTCGTATGTTAAGATCTTATTTAAGATCCCCCCTTTGCTTTAGAACAGAATACACTAGGTGAGTAGAGTGGCTGGATTTACCCTCCACTACAGCCCTGCTAGACGCTGTGTAATCCAGCTAATGCGGATAATTCCCAGGATACATTGCGCACGGCGCGCTCCTCCTGCGTTGTCGAGGCACATCTCTGGATTGGGGGGAGTCACCCACCAGCTGAGAGGCACTTCCGGGGAGATTATGTGATCAGAGTTGGTGCTAATCTGTGGAAGTAACATGTAGTTTGACTTTTTGAATGGTTTTCGAAGGAAAACAACTCCTCTGTCTTCTTCTTATTCGAAATTGTGATTCCTCGCAGCTTCTTTAACGCCTAATGAGACACTGTTTGGATTTATCAGGCGCAGAGGACTGCAACAGATGATGAGAGAAGGGGGTTAATTTCAGGTAAGACTCATTTCATGGCTTTAAAAACACAAAGTTAAGTTTGAATTCTGATGGGAATAACCCAACCAAACCATCAGAATTGTTCATATATCTTAAATGTTGATATGCAGTTATCTCTGTCGTGTATGCACCCTGGCTCATGTCACTATTGTTAATATACAACATTTCTTTGGTTACAATAGTCTTCCTTTTCTCTGCTGGCTTTAGATAAGAGCGTGTGCAGCCCTGACTATTTCACATGGGCCCTGAAGGACTTGAGTGGCATTAAGGATGTGGGAAACATTCCCGCATATAGGTCATGTCTCATGAGACAGGTGCATATGATAACCAAAGGTAAAACAAAAGCTGGACCAAAGCTCCAGCCTAATTTCAAGAAATAATTATTTGTGACTTTTGCAATTGAAGTTAGTGTGGGAGCCAATTTGTTACATTCGGGCCACTGAGTAAATGGAACTGGCTGCTAATAAGGAACCATTTTCACTAAAGTATACCAGTGTAGCGGCTTTCTTATTGAGCTTTATAAATTCATTGTCTGTCAAAACATAGAGTGTGACACGTGTGTAACAGGCAACGTCTCTAACAATCACACACATTTACAGCTGAGAGCACACAATATTCCTCCCTCCAGGTGATGTACATGTCTCATATTCTAGATTATAAACGGAATCCTTTGCAATTTGTGGAGGTAATGTCTACACCCATTCATAATTATACGTCCATAATCTTTAATTGGCTGCATTTTTTTCAAAGAAGCAAGATTATATCACTGTCATAATCTCTGCATCCTACCCCATTCTCTGGCACCATGCAGTTTGGAGGCTGTTGCCAAAATGCATCCTCCACCTCAGCTGACTTTCCTTTTGTTGCCTCCCGTTTGGGAGCTCTTGGTCTGCTCTATTCTGGTTCAAATAAGAGCAAATGTGGCATTCTGACAATAAGAGTCTTTGAACAGCCCTTGAAATACTTTATTGCATTTTAAAAGTTACTTCAAATGATTTGACATTTTATTAAAGTGCATGACCTCAACTGCACGCAACTGTGAAACGTGTACTTTAAACAATATATTTCTAGATTTCAAACTGAAGTTTGAAAATTGTTAGGGTTGCAAAGGTGAGTTGCGTTTTAAGAAAAGTTAAATAATAATACTTTGTACGCTAAGTAAATGCCTTGTGGCAACTGTAAAGTAACTTCATCGCCATCCAGTGACATCCAAACCAAATTTTACGTACAATATTCTTTGTGTTCCTTCCTGACTAAGCGAGCTCAGAATCTTGTAAATCCTTTCATCCTGTTTCCACCACATGCTGTTATCTCTGAGGTCAGCTACTCCCATCCTCTCCTGCCTTACATAAGAGCAAGCCGGTCTGCTCCTGCCCAAACTCATAGGGAAATCAGCCCTGTTGTAAGGCTTCATTCATTTTGATCAATTAAGATGGCCTATATTGTGTCTTCAGTAGTGATGTTACAAAAACATCTGTGTTTAAATGTATATAAAATACAGTAAAATACAAATGACAGAATGATAAAAAATTCAAAACTTGAGTGAATAAAATACGGTTTGCATATTAAATAATAACCACAATATTGCATACACTGGCCCGTATAATCTAAAAGAAAATGTCCCAATTTTCCTCATTGCAAACCAATTGTGATCACTGTCTCACACACATGTTGCTGCTATTGAAGCCTCAAGGTTTGCTTTTAAAAAGTGCCTGACGTTATTATTGTTCAGCACGTATGCCAGTTCCTGTATCAGCGCTCCCTGACCCTTCATGTCCGAGAAGCTAAAAACAAACCCTGAAAAACCAATTAAGCAAACGTTACTAATCCTGTCCTTGCAGACGGTGTAGGCGGTGGTGTTGTACAGTATCCCGTCCAATAACGTTCATTCAGTGTTATTACATAAACAAGAGCCCAAATTACCAAACCAATCAATACTGTGACACAAACATAAAATATTTTTCTTCTTTTTATTCTTTAAACAATGTTGGATACATTCTCTTTTGCCTACTAACCCTAAAATAACTGGTATAACAATATTTTTGCATTACAGCGTTACTCAAAAATGATCATTATAAGCTTCAATGCAAGGATTTAGAGCATTCTAGGGTGTTTGTCTTTTTTTAACATTTTTTAAAAACTCAAAATTAAGAGATTATTCCATGACAGCTACTATATGAATGACTACATTATCATAAATTGTTCCTATTTTTACTTCTAACGCAATAAAAAAGGAAAATGGTGGCGGCTGAAGCTAGTTCCATCATGTTAACTTGCATGATTATCTGCCAACAAACTTCATTTCAGCCATATTTATATAGAAAATGTACTGTATCAATTGGTCTGGTTTCGGCATGAATATAGTTTTCGGGGTAGAGCTCAGTGTGGGGACTTTAGATCCAGAGTGACCTGGATGAGGATGTACAAAGTGTATCCAGGTAGTGGTAACTGGATTACCCAGAGTTCCATCTCACCTGCTGCTCTGTTGAGCTGTTTAACACTTTCACTTCGGTTCCCTGCTTGTAGGGCCATCTTGTTGCCAATCATTAGCTTTTCAGCAACCATAGAGGAGTAATTATCAAACGTTTTTTATTAGGAAAACAATCCAACTTCTCAATTGTGATTATTTTCAGTTTTCCTCTGTAGTATAACATTGGTAATAAATGGAATGTCACCACAAGGCCAAACTTGTGACGACCATTTTTGCTCAATCAGAAAAAAAATACCGTAATCAGAAATATGAAAAAAAACGTTATTTGCTGCTCTACCTCAGAAGTCTTTAAGCCATTTAAGAAAAGCATCCTGCAAAGCTTCTTTTATGTGTCTTTCTATTTGTTTTTAATTATATCATTAACAATATGATCTCTCCACAATCAGGCTATCAGGGAGGGGAATCTAAAGTCTGAAATGGAATCTTACGGATCATCACTGAACCGCAGCCAGTCCCTCGCGAGCGGCCTGGAGAAGTCTTCCCCGAAATGGAAGCCCTCCCACTCTCGGAGCAGCAGCACCGTGTCATCCAGACAGGTGAGTCACAGTTCACCTCAACAGAGGGGGTTATGGGTATATGCATTTAATTGTTTCTTGTTTAAGGGGAGTTGAATGTTATATCGGTTACAATTCAACCACGATAATATGTGACTTTTGTTGTAGTTTCAAATACCCTATCTTTATTTTGGATAACAGTTGTTATTTTTGCATGAAACCGCTGATATTAGTGAGCAGGTGCTTTGGCTGATTGGGTGAGAGCGAGAAGCAGGGGAAATCAGTCAAATCAATGCTATCTAAATGTGTCATCACTGTGTCACATTTTCCAAGCCTTACAAGATACATCCAGAATGCACATTGTCAAACAACACTTAAAATGGTCTTACAATAAAAGTTATACCTGTTCACAAATCTCAAAAATATTATTCTCGGATATTCAAAATTCAACAAAATACAAAGATTACTCATAGATATTAGTTAAATAAAATGAAATAAAGGAAATACATTAAATAGTCCCTTTATCCTTTTCCTGACAAAGTTAATTCATGCACATTTGAGCAGAATATAAGGTTTTGTCACGCTATTACATGAAAAAGCTGACAAAAACATGAAATAGTATGTCAAATAATAAAAAGAAAATGGGACTCACACTTGTCACCCAATCCATTTCTTTGTGTTTTTATTTGATCCTACCCATGCTGTTTAGGTTATCAAAGACTGGGAGGTGATTGACGACCTTCAGGTAGAAACTCAGCCTGGAGGTGAGAACCCTCCTGACACGACCATCCCAGGGATCTGTGAGGGATATCTCCTGAAAAGGAGGAAGTGGCCACTGAAAGGTTGGCACAAGGTGAGAAAATCATCCACTCTCTAATTTTGTATGTTCATTTTTAGTAATGAAGGAATCAATTTCAAGCAGATGATGTTCAACCTTTTCTTTCAGCGATACTTTGTCTTGGAAGCCGGGTACTTGCGTTACTCCAAAAACCAACATGATGTAAGTGAACACAGTTAATGACATTTTGTTCCCCCTACTTAATATAAAGAATGACTGATTTTAATTTCCTCTTAAGGTCACCATTGGAAGAGTCCAGGGCTCTTTAGATGTGAGCCTGGCAGTCATGACAGTAAACAAGAAGTCCAATCGGATTGACTTGGACACAGGAGACATTCTTTACCACTTAAAGGTAAATGAACATACTTTTCAAACCAACAATCGGTTTGGCGTCAGAATTAAAAAGCTTAACACATGCATTTCTTGTTCCTCCAAGGCAAAGAGCCATGAGCTCTTCTACATTTGGTTTACCAAGCTGCAAGCCCACCGCCTGTACAAGAAGGCGGCTCATGGTCACAGCGGCATCCTGCTCACACACGGAGGTGCAGCTGGACAAGCTCAGAGAAATGGAGATCTGGTGAATATAAAATTAGAGTTGCTAACAGAACAATGTTTAAAGCCGACTCATCTTAACCTCGTGTCCTTTTTCCGTCGGTATTTTGGTCATCAGAGCTCCACAGGGATGCTGCCCTCCGCTAACACCGCTGTGAACAGCAAAGTGTCAGCCTGGCTGCAGCACAGTCACAACCCAGACACCTGTGTGCAAGGTAGTTTCATGTATAATATATATTAAATATATTATAATTTATATATCCGTTACTTACCCTTTAAATCGTAAAGAAGACAGTTTTTTTTGCATGTTTCCTTGGTGAACAAAGAATCCAAAAGTGTTTATGAATTAAAGTAAAGGGGGCCACAGTACCGTATATAGGGAGACTGTTCATGCAATAGTCTTTTTAAAGATGTGGTCTTAGATAAAAATTTGGAATATACTGACAGGTTGTGTGAGAGTTTATAAACAGAATATTTTGATATGATTTTGAGAGTTTTCTTATTTTTAAGTGTTCCTCAAGAAATCAAGATAACAATGGGTTATTAAATCACATACAAACAATTGTTATGGGCGTGATATATGATATTAAGGGGAACATTTGTGCGTAAATCATACACATTTTCTCAAAGGTATGTCAAGTGAATTGCGTGGTGGGAAATGTAAGCGATACATAGACAATTTGGAATAAATAGGACGATATCTCTAGTTTAGGTGCATCGGTTTTGATTTTTTTTCCTTAACCGTCCATCCTTAGTCTGACAGTGTTATAGTAAAGCATAAATCAATGAATCCTTGAATAATCCCCTCTGTTTTCTCCCAGAGCTGAATCGTTGCCATGTGGATATTTCGGAGATAAACCGGTTAATCCAGAAGCTGCAGTTGTTGGAGGCGGGCCAGGCTGTCAATAACGGAGACCTGAGGCGCATCATCAGCACACAGGTATACTGCTGTTTCTGAGTAGCATGACATGAAATAAAAAACATTTATGGCAATACAATATCTTTTTTGTTTTTTATTTTCTAGAATCTGTTGCTTGAGAAGCCAAAAAAGCCGAGGTCAGGGAAGATTTGGCACTCTCGCACATTATCCAGAGTGGAGGCCCTAGGAAAGGTAAGAATGCTCTGTAACTTACTAACTGTATTGAAATCCTACATTTATTATTTTACTGATAATTGACTTTGAACATATAGAATTGAAGAATTTGATATCCCGGTCCTCCTCTGAAATTGCGTTGTATTTCTTATCCAAAGCCTATTCGTGGGATAACTAAATCGGTGAGTGGGAATGGGCTTAGACAACTTGATTCATAAGAATTATTAAATGTTCTGAAAATGAATAATATGTTTCATTATGTGTGTTTCAGTGTTGTAGACCCCTTACCTCTAAAGCACTTCAAAAACCATGTTTTCCCACAGAACAGGGTTCAGAAATGACATGAATTTGAACATTTCAGTAAATAAATAGATCAATCAAGTAAACCTGCATATTCTTTAGATGCTAGACTTTCAATCCTGTGTTGTTGGTTGTCTATCCTAGACAATGGATAGTCGTAGTACTGCAGGCTAATTTATTATTAAACATAAATGACTTAAACTTAAAGTGCCTTAAAGTGAACAATGTCAAATAGCTTGCGGGACAGAACATCAGCAGGGCTGTGGTACTAAAGGTCCAGGTTTAAGCCATAAATAAAGTAGTCAACCGGATGTTCTAAATGTTAATAAGTCCTACAATATATTTGATTGTACCAGATCGATCACAAAAAATTTTGTATTAATCTTTTTTGTTTTATCTTTGTATTTCTTTACTGTCATCTAGAGTTTTATTATTTCTCCTATCTCTTTGTCTTTCCGCCATTTTCCCTTAAGAAACTCTTAAGCCTCTTAAAAGTCCTCCTCCCTGCTTCTTATAGTTGGTCACTTTAGGAGCTCTCTTAGGAAGTATAATGCTTTGTCAATAACCTTGATCTTTACAACGATATAGTCTCAACTGTATGGGGAAAATCTTAGAAAGATATTGCAATTATGAGGTTCTTAAAAAGTGGATGCGTTGAGCAATTTTTGTTGCTTTGCCAAAGTAATATAATCTTTACAAATGTTCTGTTCACCTTCCTAGCTGTCCTCCAGTCATCTGGGAAGCTCGCCTCAGCTCGGTGCGTCCGTCCCCTCTATCCCAGACTACGTCTACTCCCAGCTGTCCCCTCCCACTGTCACATCCCCTGAGGGCAAGAAGGTCCACCAGGACATCTGCACCATATCGATAAGAGGTCAGAAAAACACATACATGCATTTATACACTCAGGTATACAGGGATCCTCACAATGTTCCATTTTGAAAGAGCAAAATCCAATAAAGATTAGAGAATCTACAGTAGTGTCCATCTTGATTGCTATTATTTTAAATGTTGAGTCAGTGTCCTTGTTTGTTTTAAGCATATTTATTAAACCTCATCTGTTTTTTTTGGCAAGTATTGGTTACTTCAAGTTTGGGCATTTTAGTAAAAATCTTAGTCAAATTAAAGCTAAACTATTTTAGCCTATAGTTTAAGCCAGTAAAAACTGTTTTAGTCACAGATTATATTGAAGATTTTAACCACGATATCACCTTGTTTTTTCTCCTAAGCCCTATTTCTTAATTGGTAATTTTAAAGGTCTCCTATCATGCAAAATAAACTTTCCGATGTCTTTTATACATAAATATGTGTCCCCAGTGTGTCAGGGATTTCACAAAGTGTCAGAAAATACAACCCTTTCTCTTTTCCTTCGAGCCCAAATCTCTAAAAATGGGGGTACAAACGGAGCTGATCCAGATTTGCGTCCGATATGACGTAATATCGGAAATGTGGAAACAATGCCTGACGTGTTTTGGAAGTAATATGGTCTTTGTTTACATTAGCAAACATCGCTAACACTCAGAGCTAATGCTGTACTGGAGAGAGTATGTGTAAAAAAGCAGGAAATAAAAGGGTACTCACCTTGTGGTAAACCCGCAAGATAAAAAGTATTTGAGTTTCATACTGTTTCAGAAATGATCCTTGATGTGGTTATGAACATGATATGGCGTTTCATCAAGGTTTCATCCTCCACCCGCTTCTTTTTTTAATTGAATTATCAGGGCTGAAACAGAGGGATATGAGGGATGTTTGGTATATTGAGTAAAACACATCATAGACATGTTTTTTATATTTTTTATTTTTAGAGACCCATAATAAATGCCTAAAAATAGCATGATAGGAGATCTTTAATTGAAGTAAGTACGTTATTCTGACTTTTCCTGTCTTTGCATATTGTGTTTGGCCACTGTATTCCTGATATGGATAGAAACAATAACTATAAATGATTATTATCCTATAATCCTTATATGTCAAGTTTAATTTCTTAACAACATTTGAGTCAATTTCCTTCAATAGTATTGTATGTTAAACTTCACATTGATGCCATCTTAACATTGTGTCAGTTTATTCATATAAAAACCTATAGTTGACTAACATATTTAGCTATAGTTTCAATAGAAAAAACTTCTATTTCTGTTCCAGAAATATGATTATGCAAGGCGGACAATGTTAAAGATGTTCAGAATCTGAAATGAATCTGCATCAACCTTTCCTCTCAGACTTCTCTTCTCTTTCCTCCTCAGTGCTTGCCTCTCTGAAGTCAGTGCATGAAACTCTGTCCCAGGAGAGGCAGAAGCTGCAGGAGATCTGGGAGCCGAACAACATCCACCAGTCTAACACGTTAGCAGAGGTGAGATTCATGCTGCACCTGTCACCTGGATCTTCTAGAACAGGGGTGGCCAACCCGCGGCTCTCGAGCCGCATGCGGCTCTTCAGTTCATATCGAATTTTATATGTGTGAGTTTGGGGGAGAGACACTGACTCCTGACCAGTGTTGCACGGCGTACCGATACTTGAAAGGTATACCGCGATACCCTGCCGTTAAAAACGTTACTATTCCTCCGTTTCATTAGTATCGGTACTTTAAGAATGACGGGGGACAGTACTTCCGGTGAGAAAGCGCCCGGTTTAAATAAGAGCCCGCTGGTGTGTTCAGCCGCTTCGCTTCCATCCCTGCAGCAGCCGATGCTTGCAGTCCCTCCCCTTCTCAGTGCACGCCGCATTTGTTGTCAGAGCCATGTTGAGAAAACGAGAAGCCTGCAAGTGGTGGTGCAACTGCCGCTGCACCTCGGCTTGTTGACAAAAAAGACACCAGAAGCGAAATCTTGATGTATTTTAGCTATATCTCTGACAGTGAGGGAAAGCCTACGGACACCACAAGGCCTGTCTGTAAGAAATGTATTAATTTGATTTAATACGAATTCTTGTCATTTATTTTATTTGTTGAATGCTGATAATTCTGACGTAATTTGGCCGGTCAAAGTTGTTTGGGCTCGGATAAAATTGCTCCGTTACTTTCGTCCCGTGTTACTTTCGTCCCGTGTTACTTTCGTCCCGGCTCTCCCTACGTGTGTATGTGTGGTGTCAGGTGTCAGTATGAGAGGATGACAGCGCGTCTAATTTTAATGTGGCCCAAGAGCCAATCACAATAATACCTGCGATGCAGTGAACCAATCACCTTTGAGGGGGGGGAAACCTATCGTTGATTAAAACACTATCCAGTGGTTCCCCTACCATTGTCTTGGAGGGGCACTGCGCTCAGCCAACGGAGCCCCGCGCCCCCCTGAAATTCAAGGTGTTTAAAAAATATATATAATTTTTTTTTAAATATATATATAGCACCAAATTGCAAATAATCTATAACTACTGTCACTTTTCACATTGAACATGTGCTCTTTTATTAAATAAACTAAACACTTTCATTTTAAGTTGTGAGTTTAGTGTTTTTGACCAAACACTGATGCATTAATCAATGACAATAATCCACAGTTCCTCTCTCTGCTCCAGAGGATTTAAAAAAAAAATATCCCAATGCCACACAAATGCATCAGTGACGTGGTTGAAATCTTGTCTCCAGAAAACAAAAAACTGAAACAAGTGGTATCAGTGACTGTGTGTTTGATGTGGCTCTTTGCAGTAACATAGAACAAATGTGGCTCTTAACCTCTGACTGGTTGTCCACCCCTGTTTTAGAACATATTCCCCTGTGGGTTTGATGGCTGGTTTTTTCTTCCTCTTTCTATTTCTCCATGGATAGCCTGCAGCGGCGTCACACTTATCCCACAGGCCTCCCTCAGTGGCAGACTCGGCTGCAGAGTATTTTGACGCCAGCGCTGACGTGATTTGTGATGGTTCCTCTGAGGTGTCTGATGAATCAGGACTCAGTGATGGAAGCACCACCAACTCTGAGCCAGAGGAAGGACATGGTGAGTACATGTACACGAATGACTGCCTTTGCAATGTACATAAGATAGAAGGGAGCTGGATATCAGTGTTATATTGTAATCAGTCTTTTTTAATAATAATAATAATACATTTGATTTGTATAGCACACTTTAAAAACAACATCCTCTCAAAGTGCTTCACAATTCGATGAGAGAAAAAAAGTTATCTAAGAGACATATGTAATAAAAACATTTTTAAATAAAAATACATACAAAACTAGGGAGCTGAGTTCATTTAGACTGCTAAGCAAACCTAAAATAAACTTTGTTAGGTCAAAAATAACGTTAAATAATTTTTAGACAGGGTTGAGCGGAATTTTCTTTTTGCTATTTTGAACAGATTACATATTGGCTCTCGATTCATAGAGTGGGTCAAATCAATTTATAAAAATCCTAAAGCAGCGGTCATCACTAACTGCAGTTCCTCAGATTTGTTTTCATTAACAAGGGGGACAAGACAGGGATGTCCACTGTCACCTTTGGTTTTTGCTATTGTGAGCATAGCAACAATGTGGCTTTAAATACTTAGGAATAAATATAACACCACACCTGGATAATCTGTTTAATTGACTCATTGACAAAATCAAACAGGATTTATCTAAATGGTCCACATTACCAATATCACTGCTAGGAAGAATCAATGTTATACAAATGAATATTCTACCGAGATGTCATTTTCTTTTTCAAATGTTACCATGTTATTTATCCGCTGATTATTTTAAATCTCTCAATAGACATATTTCAAAAATGTATCTGGTGTAATAAAAAACCAAGAATCAAGTTACTTACTCTTGAAACCAGAAACCTTGGGGGGGTCTTGGTCTTCCCAACTTTCAACACTACTTCTGGTGAGCTCAATTAAGAAATGTAATATCTTGGTCACTGGGAAGACAGGATTCACTATGGGTTCAGATAGAAGCCAATATATTTGACCCGTTGCCAGTGGAAACTCTTATATTTGTTAAAGATTTCAATAAGGTGAAAAATATGGCCAAATGTTTTCCAGTGCTCAATACACTTTTAGCCTGGAGGGACTGTACAAAAAAAAGTTCATGTTGACTCTGGTATTTCCATCTTTTCTCCTATTTTGAACAATCCTGATCTTAGCAAATACTTGTTGTCAATCAATATAAACAAATGGAAGAGATCAGGTATAAAGCAATTGAAAAATGTGTTTCATAAAGATATAACATTGAAATCATTTAATGATTTAAGAGCAGAATATGGCATTTCAAATAAGGATTTCTTCAGATACCTGCAAATTAGGAACGTGATCCAATCAATTATCAAAGGCAATAAACTGAGATCGGGATTGTTAGAAGAGGAGGAGATATTGATGTCATCGAGCACGATCAAAGGTCAAATTGGTGAACTGTATGCAATTTTTTCTAAAAGTAGTGAGTGTACTGTGATATTACAATGTAAATTAAATGGCATCGATTATTGTAGACTATAATGAAATAAAAAAATAATAATTTAAACTAATTTGTGTTTTTTTCCTGGAAAACTCTGAACTTCAATATTTTTGTGTGTGCATAAAGACCTTTCCCAATTATTATTTTAGGTGTTTAAAGTGAAAACTAGATTTCCCCCCCCAGCATTTGAACAAATGTTAGCAGGCTAACTCACAAACTCAAAATGGTGAACATTATACCTGCTAAAAGTCAGTGTATTAGCATTTAGCTCAAAGCTTTGCTAAATTAAACTGAACAGAGCTTTTTCTGTGATTATTATTATTTCATTTCACTGTCATTACAGCATCGGCCACCAGGAAGTACCGTGCTAGCATTCACAGGAGTCCAAACGGTGTCATTCCCAGGATCACCGGCTGGCGAACGACACTGCCCGCTCCATGTCCGGACAACAGCCACGTGGGCCTCATGGCCATCCTCTACAATAACATAGGCAAGTCTCACCACTCTGTAATAACATAGACATTTTGTGTATAGACACATAGCAGTTTTCTAATGTGCTCTGTGTCCTCAGGTAAAGACCTGGCTCGGGTCTCCATGCCTGTTCCTCTCAATGAGCCTGTTACCCTGCTGCAGAGGCTGTGTGAAGAGCTGGAGTACAGTGAGCTGCTGGACACTGCCAACAACACCCCAGACCCCTACCAGAGGATGGTAGGAATAATATCATCTATAAGGCACATTGGGGAACATGTCACCACTATAACCTAAGCAGATTTGATGCATATGCACCTGCTAAGAAGAACGTTTCATTAAAAATATATAAAGACTACAGTCTAGGATTGCATGATTGAATCTAAATGCAGTGCAGCTGTCTTTACTATTTTTAAATTGACCAAAATGAATGTTTAAGATATGCTTCCTGTCTTGTCGCTGCAAACAGAATGAGCAGTGAAAATGTCATATATATTTTTTGTAAATAAACAACAAGGAGGGTTATGTCACAACTAACAACAATGTCTATTTCACATCCTCATCCTCCTTTTTATAGATGCATTTAAAAGAATCTCAGAGACTTAAAATACATTATCAAAAATAAGCCAAAGTATCTGAGAATGAGATATAAGGGAATGGAAATGTGTGCAATATTTGTTTACTTTGAAATAATGCTGTATCTGGGTGAAGCAAACTGAGAGACAAGATACCTAAACGAAGCAAAGTTGGCTAAACAAAATGAAAAGTTACTTTTGTTTTCTTCATAGTTTGCACCAATTACAGATGCAACTGTTCATGTTATTTTACTTCTAACAGGTTTACATTGCTGCCTTCGCTATCTCTGGTTACTCCACTGCGACGTTCAGGAACCGCTACAAGCCCTTTAATCCGGTGCTGGGGGAGACTTACGAGTGCGTCAGAGAGGACCGGGGCTTCAGCTACATCAGTGAGCAGGTATCTCAGGAAGAACTTCACCAACACATTTATTACAGGATATCTGATTCAGGAAGATCTTTAAGAGCTCTGAGTGGCCACTGCATGGGACCGTAGATGATTAGGCTGACTATGGGGAATCACCATTTATCCCCCATAATCCCCCTAAATTAAGATGGATCACCCTTGGTCTAATGAAGCAGCTCAGACACACAGAGCTGCACAAATCAGCAGAGTGATTTATGGCTGTAATAAAATAACGGTAACTAATCATGTTATTAAAAATTAAAAATTAAAAACACATCATTTATCGTGGAGTGAAAATTTATTAAATGACTGTCCTCGACGAAGCAATTCATCTCTACAACAGTATTTTAGTGATGTAGCTCTGGGAAAAATAGAAATTCAGAGAGGCACATTGACATTTAGGTGACTTATTATACAGTCATAATTGTGTATTTCTTATAGACTAAACACTTTTTACTGTGATACACATTTATCAGTTAAGCAGTTAAATATCATTATACAATGGCTTCTGCTAATATCATTGATTATAATTCCTGGTATGTGATCAGAATTAACGCTTCAATTTTTTTTGTATTATCTACCATAACAATAAAGGCTCTTTATGTTGTAAGGTGTTACCAAAGCCACTGGTTAAATCATTGTGGGTAATGTAGTCCTCAGCTTTTGCATTTGCTGCAGCACCAATTAAGGAGCGATGCTTAAAAGCAAACACAATATAATGGTTATCTCATAAGTTTACAAGCTCAACTCAAATGATAGCTAGTGTCAATACAATGCGTTCCCTCTATAATACTCATTGAGTATCATCTGTATTATTTATTTCTTCACCAGGTCTGCCACCATCCCCCCATCTCTGCCTGCCATGCTCACTCAGAGAACTACTCCTTTTGGCAAGGTGAGACTCTTCAGATTCCTAATTAGTTTCAGTTGGTCAATCTAATGCCAGGCTTACAACACTTGTTTATTTGAATTCCTAAACAGACCAGCGATGGAAAAATAAATTCTGGGGGAAGTCACTGGAGATTCTGCCAACAGGGATGGTCAATGTGACTCTGTCAAGGTAAACAGATTAAACCTGGCTATCTGTATTTACTACGTGGCCTCTGTTGGATGAGGCATGACACTGACTAGATCTATTACATGTGATGGATTAAATGTGAGATGCACCATACTGTACTTTATGTGAAGCGATCAAGGTTATCTACCATTGGAAATAAGTTGAGATCAGTGAGACATGAAATACCTTCACTGAGTATCAGTGTTTTAAAATACAGTCAGGATATCCCTAAAAACAACTATCCATATTTTTCTCATGGCTTCCAGAGCCAAAGCGTTTAATATTATGATTTCATAATTTTTGGGATTATTATTTGTTATTTTCAACTTTATTTGACAGTTAATAGTGTTGAGATAGACAATTTACGGGGGAAGGAGAATGTTGGAACACACAACAAATATCCCTGGCTTGGATTGAACAAGGGACAATATAATAAATGATTTTGTCCCAGAAATATAAATAGCAATACATGTCCATTGTAATTTTCAAAAACGCAACATGTCCTCTTCCGATTGGTCATTCTGTCCAATCAAAAGCCAAAACAGTGAGTTAATTGATTGATATAATGGCGTAAAATGATGCAGAACAATGATAATGATACAAAACAAAAGACACAAATAATTCACATATTTTGCCCCTTTTCTTTGGTAAAATACTCGATTTTGGTGTTGTGTCCAGGTATGGAGATCACTATGAGTGGAACAAAGTAGTGACCTGCATCCACAACGTCCTCAGTCAGCAGCGCTATCTGGAGCATTACGGAGAAGTCACCATCAGCAACCTCAAAAGCAATGTGTGCACCTGCAAGATTACCTTCGTTAAGGTGAAATCAAAGACTTCCTGGATTACTCAGCCATTTTTTATGTTATTGCAAGCGACTTTTCTGTGTTTCGTTTCACAGCATATCTCAGGCTTTTGACATATTTGTATTCTGTTGTAGTCTCGTTATTGGGGTTCAGACACGAACAAGAATGAGGTGCAGGGCACGGTGCTGGACCAAAGTGGGAGCATCATTCACCGGTTTGGAGGTCTTTGGCATGAAGGCATCTTCTGCGACACCCTACCTACTCCAAAATGCGTCTGGAAGCCAAGTGAGTCTTTGTTCTGAGCACATGATTACAACATGTTCGTCCTTGAGGTTTTTCTTGTGTTGCTTAGATTCTGCTTTAGATGTTGAGGGTTTAAGTGGAAGTGACCTGAAATAATCAAGCGTCCTGTTGCCATAACTGCTAATCAGTGAAAATCCAGGTGTCACATTCCTGGAACAGTTCACCTAATAGGCTTCTGTCCCCTCACAGATCCCCAGCCGAAGGATCACCTGATCTACTACGGCTTCTCGGACTTCGCCATGGATCTTAATGAACTCCCCCCAGACCTGACGCCCCTCCTGCCTCTCACAGACAGCCGCCTGCGCCCAGACCAAAGGTGAGCAGAGCTAGAGACCTTAGAGCAAAGAAATGCACAATATGTTATTTTCATATAGTGGATTCATGGTAAAGTTATTCTTTAAATTCTTTCTCTTTTTAAAAGGATGCTGGAGGAAGGAAATTTGGATGAAGCAGAAGCAAAAAAAGATTTTATAGAGGAATATCAGAGGGAGCGAAGAAAAGAGCTCGCCAAAAGGGGGGAAGAACATATTCCACGTTTTTTCAAGTAAGTACATTTGAATAATTAACTACCATAGCATAATTTCTTACTGTTAATATTATTGCTAAATGTTCAAATCTAATGTTTGGTCCATGAATGTCTATACATTTTAAGTACTTTTATCCGAGTCTGGGCTTTGGCATAACAATTGGTCTGAAAATGTGTTTCCATGGTTACATGGTACAAAATATATAACGAGGCCTGCAATGTAGTATAACTTTTAGGGCCTTTAAAAGATCCGAAAACAATGAAAACTGTGCATTTCAATGTCCAAGAACTCGAGGGGATTTCATGCAATGTCTTGTTTTGTCCAACCAATAGTGCAATCCCAATAATAATATTGTGATAACCAAGAAAATAAAGAAAATACTCAATTGAGAATCTTGAATCAAAGCGACACACACATTTCTTACAATGTTCCTGTGAAAATAGATGAATGGCAATAAACTCCAAGTTTTTCATTGAATATTTTCTTCTTCTTCATCAGGAAAACCAAAGACTCCTGTGGACGGGACATCTGGCTGACAAACGGGACGTACTGGAAGGTCAGAGAGAATCCAGGTTTTACTAATGTTGACAACTTAACTGTCTGGTGATCAGACAACAGAGACGATCTAAAATGCCAGATAAAAGACAGGTGTGAGAGATGTTGGACATTTGGACAGCATATATGAACCGCTCTGACAAACGTGCAGGGTGGAGATAGTGCTGCTGGTCTCTCCTCGCTCCTTGGTGTGTTCCCATGACCGGCTCATGGGAACACTCCATCAGACCCCCCAGGTCGCCCAGCATCAAGTATAGGTGAATGAACATATAAAGACTTTTTCTTGGAGTTACATTTTTTAATGCATTTCAATATTATTTTTAGACTACTCAAGCATATATCTATTTTTGAGAATGTTATAGTTTTAGGCTGAATGTGTGAAGAACACTCTGCATTACTTGAAGCAAATGACTTGAAATACATGTATCTATCAGGTTACTAATAACCCTATCTTGTTAGCTTATTAAATGTAAACATCAAATTATGTCCTCTTCTAATGATAAGTACAATTGTTTGACTTTGTAAATGTTCATGTAAAGGGTACAATTGGTCTGTTTTATTTGGTATATTGGATTTTTTGCAGGGAATTTGCGCCTCTAAAACAATCAAGATGAGAACATTATACCTGCAGATAGTTATAATCTGCAGCCCCACTTGGCTCTACGGAGCTTTATAGTGCATCTGACAACTTAACTGTTCTGTTTCATTATCACTGCTCTCATGTTGCCAAGTTTTCAGTGTAACCAGAAAAACTAATTTGAAAAAGTCAACCTGTCTAATAAAAAACATGGCACATGTCCTATATACATACAGTACACCATATTTACCTTAGAATTGATCATGTGTCAATGTTCAAGATGCAGGCAAGTGTCCCAAAAAATGAATTCTTGACCGATAGTAATTACCGATCTTGTAGGCTAATCCAGCCACAGCTACAGTATATTTACTACTAATCGGTGTGCTGACGTAATGCATTCGAAGTACTCCAAATTGGTACTTGTGACTTTTACAATAATGATCAAAACAGCCTACTTAGAAGAGGTAATTGAAAAACCTCTGGGCTTTGCTTAGATCATATGAATGTCAAATCTAACATCTAATTTATTTATTTTTGAAAAGCAAAAATAAAACTTCAGTGTGTACTCATTTAAAAGAGGAGATGAGATATTTTTGCTCTATTTTTATGTCATTATTAGAGAATAATATCCAACTGGTTGGAAACATGTAGATATTTATATATAGTAACATCTTATCTGTGTTTTAATTTTTCTGTGGTATCAATTTATTATAACTGCACATACATGTATACTCATGGTAAGTCAGACTTTTGTTTGAAGTTGATATTATGGCACAAGTTAATTCTCACATAATTTACAAGGTGTTTTTTTTTGTTAATTTGAGCAAACGTTCTGCTTACATGAAATAAAAAGATCATCAAAACAGCCGAGATTTGTCATGTGTAAGCTTTAATTTCTTGAATAAAAAAACCATACAATAAACAATTATGCCACCTTTTAATAAATAACAATTTTCCCTTATTCAGGAATCTTCCTCTCTTATTTTTGCAATGTATAAGCGCTCAATGAAAGAGTCGAAGGAGGATTATTGCTCCCTCAACATGAACAGTGCACATGGATCACACACAAATAAAATAACATGCTTGTTGCTTGACCTCGTCTGGTCTCCCTTCTTCACTCCTCTATTTCTATTTTATACAGTAAAATCTCTGGAAATACAGTTCCCACACCGTCTTTTTCTCTTACTGAGGGAAATGTGTTTGAGGGAAACAAAGACTCATGGGAAAATGGTGGTATTTAGGGTTAAACATCAGGGATAGCTGATTGTAAAAGCCGATATATCCAGCAAGGGTCGTTCCTGAGGCTTCTGAAAGCATTGTTCTGCTGTTTGATGGGAGATCTTGCACTCATGTAGGTGCAGGAGTTAAAACCACACAACCAACCACAGCACGTAAAAATAAATAACTGACATCGTCCACAGGCCAGAGATCACATGAATGTTTCTGCAATGCCATCATTAAGTCTAAACTAATTTACTTTCTATTAATTGCACTTGAAACAAGAATTGTCGATAGGTTTACCTTCATAAGGTACATCAAGAATCGTCACCTTTTCCTCTGTTTGACGTCAACATAAACATTAAATAGTAAATCTTTTGGAAACGATACACAAGCAACTTACAATATATTCTGTTTTCAGCATAAAATCAGCAATGACAAAATCATTGCCATTTAACTTTGTTATTTAAATGTTCAGGTTAAGGGCTAAACTGCCAGACAGTTTGTCCTTTTTGCATCAAAATTGTGCTCGGATCAAGTGCTGCAGTCACAGTATTTATATAATGTTAATGTAAAACCAGCAAAGCTAAGAAAAGAGCTTGAATGTGAAACCTTAAAACAGGGGCACAGGATTTTTTAAATATATAGAAATGCTGAAGTCAGTAGGAGTCCAATCCAAAAGGGCTGCCTTCAAATAGTGACCAGACACTAAACACAATGTTGGTAAAATGGTGTAATTATTCAGATTATCAAAGAAATAAGACAATTTAAAATCATGAATGTTTCGGCATATTTACCTACATTAAGGTCTACATTTAATTTGACATATAATTTCCCTGTCAGAAGAACTCATTGATTAGTTTAACCTTTGTTCCGTGAAGTGTAAATATATTATGTTTAATAATATTGTATGCAAGTTCCAAATGTACAAATTGAACTCCCCTTAGTCCGCAAGGCCTCTAAATTGACTGAAGAAAAGTTGTATTCGTCAAACATGAAGGCTTTGAAGGAATAGCTCCACATTAAGTCAAATAACCTTACTATTTGTATTACTGAGAAATTAGAAGATTATAAACATTCTTAAGTCTGTAGTAAACCAGGAGGCAGTTAGCTTAGCTTAGCATAAAGCAAAAAGACAGGTGAAAAAAGGTAGCCCTGCTTAAAAAAACTTTACCAACCGACTGCTCTTAGGCTCACAAATAAATGTTTGGTACTGTTTGTTTAAGAGTCTCAAAAATGACACTTTGTGCTTAAAGCTTGTTTTCAGGAGTTGATGAGTTAGGCTAACTGTTGCCCTCTGCATATGATAAGATAAACAACGATCCTAGCTCAAGTTCTTTTTGTTAGCATGTGAGTAGCATCATGCTAACATCTTAAGCAACTCTTTAAGGAGTATTGTGTTTTGTTGTCTGGTTGATTTCAATATTGTAGACACACTCCACACTTCAAACAATTGAAGGGGGATGTATATTTCACATGCAGATGAATGGTAAACAAATAAATTAAGCCTCTGAGGGGATATTAATGTCGAAGTTTAGGAAAACTTGATGACGCATTGAGGAGTTTAGCATCAGTAGGCCATAAGCTATCGGTGAGTGATTTCAACATAGTGGCTCGGGGAAACATAACATTAAACATTTGACCTGGGATAAACCATTGTTGATAACCTAGAACTGTGAATGTGTAATTTAAAAACTATATTCAACTCAGTAATAGACACACTGCAATACTACGCCATTAACAGATTACGGGAGTTTTCGGTTTCTAGGTATTTTAAGCTTGCAGATTTTATTTTTGATTTAATTTCTCCCTCAGAAAAGACTAAAGTAACCCTTAACTGCACCGAGCGAGTGTCTGCCTGTCGCCTCCAGTGTTGTCTGAGGCCAAACACACCTGGAATGAGGAGCAGATCTCTGATCAGCACCGACTGCGGCCTCACTCCTCATTTCTGTCACCAGACTGGGAGCCGGGACACTTGTCAGCCAGTGTCACGACATGATGAGCCCGAAGACTAGGGGGGAAATGCAGAGTGCCTGTCTGGTCACTTTGTGCTTCCTGTTTATTGTGGGTCTTGGGTGACAGTGCCTCGTCTTTTACCTACAGGTGCATGTAGTCATTCTGAATGACCCACTTTTGACTTGACAGCAGCTCTGTTGCTCTGCTACTACTGTACAGAAAGGGTTTGGGAAGACTTGCAGCACTACAGCAAAGAAGATTAAGATGTTGTAAATAAATGTAACCGGACGTAAAAAAGTGACTAAAGATCTCTGGTTTGTCTCCTAATCCCGAGTTCAATCTCACTCAATTGTCCGTCCCAGCATCTTTATAGTCAAGATGGCGTAAGGATTCTGCCTAAATTTAATTACTCATAACATTTTGGTTATGGAATCGATCAACAGATGCTTTGGTTAAAAAATGAAACTAACCTTTCAGTTTTTCAACTACAGCAATGGAACAAATGTGCCCTGAAACCAACTAGGTAAGAATTGTTTTTAGCCTACCCGCTAGCCGGAAATGCCTTTCAAAACTGGAGAGGATGTTGTTCACTTGCATTTCAAAATACAGTATATTAATCAAAGGAACAATGGGATGTCTTTGAGCATACAGATATGTGTGAGGGGTCAGCCTTAGACAGATATATGAACGCACATAACTGAACACATTATTACTAGGTTCAGGCCTGGCTGAGATAACACTGTGGTTATGTTCATCTACAGTGCGTGCAGTTCATGTGTGTTTTAAGCAGTCACACTTCTGTCTGCCAATACTGTTTTCCAATTATGTCGTCATCAATGCTAGTATTGATTGCGGTCTTTATTTTTTTGTGTGTGTGTCTGTGTGTGTGTGTGTGTGTGTGTGTGGTGACAAGAGCATTCCCAGATTCATTCACAACAGTAAGAGGCTAGGCCTTTGTTATTTGAGGCCTTCTTTCCCTTGATCGAAGCATTAGCTATGATACATGCTTGAATGCTTCAGAAACAACAAATAACTTTTCCATGCTTGAATCAATGATTAACAAATCTTAAAACTTGTGAAATTCTATTAAGTTCCTCCTGCCCAGGGTGTCGTCTTTAAATGTATCTTTTTGACAAAAATCTGAAGAAATTCCGTTCAAAATTATACCAATGTTACCACCCATTTAACCGGCTGTTAACTTTTGAAGCAGGTGACATATTAAAGAATGTTTATTCTCTTAAATAATTCAATATCAAAAAATGTTGGGGTAATTAAGTTTAACTGATTAATCGACAGCTCAAACAAAGCTATATAATTATTTATTTATTCTCCTTTTTATACATCTGTTTGTACGTTTTTAGGTGAGATTTTATCATACAGTTTAAACCAACATTTTGATATTATCTGTCTCTGTGTGAGATATATTGGATTGTGTTCAGTTAAAAGAATCAGAATCAAAATGGACAGAAAGGATTTGCTATTTCCGCTGTGGTCGCTGATTTACTTAGCTTTAACACACACACACACACACACACACACACACACACACACACACACACACACACACACACACACACACACACACACCTCAGCGGGGTTGACATAGATTAGGCTTCAGGACATGTGCTAGCTAAATCTTCTTAATCTCTTGACATTGTTCTCTTTACCTCTGCACTGTCATCCTGCAGTTCTTCTCTGTGGACACTGGTGGGCGCTGCACTAAACAAATTGATTTGCAGAGAAGACTGTGAGTGAAATGTATTTTCTGCTCAGAATCATAACGGGAAATGACCGTGAGCATATTGTGAGAGGATGTGTGAAAGGTTGAGGGTGAGAAAAAGGAAGAGACAAGATGGAGCAGAAGAGACCGAGAGAGAGTTTGATGCAGAAAGAACAGACAATACCTGCAGGCGACTGTCAACAAGTAGATATGCAGATCATTTCCCCCCCCCAAAATCTATAGATGTTTCAAAGGCTTAAATCACAGGTCTGTTTGTCTGTATGGTGTTTATGTGACTCTAGGCTAGTTTCCCAGTCACATCCACTTCTGTTCAATTTGACAGCAACCTTGAAAGTTTTTCCTGTTATCATCTGACACTTTTGAGGGGGGACTCTGGTGTTTGTCTGTTCCAGCCCTTCATCAGACCAGTGCATGTTCATGAGGGCGGTGTGGGCAGCCCTGGGAGGTCTTCAGTGAGTGTAGTAGCCATAGTAGTCTGCATCACTGTTGCTGTCCTTCTCGCAGACCTCCCCACTGCGCGGAGGTGGGGAGTTTTCAGTGCTGGAAGTGTACGGCGACACCCTTCTCTTCTTGTTGTCGCCCACTCCGCCCTCATAAAGGCCCGAGTCGGCCGAGGCCGCTGATTTCACAGAGGGCGGCTCCAGCCAGGGGTCCTCGGACACCACCTCCACAGTGTCTTTGGGCTTGTCCTGCAGCAGGGCTGGCTGCAGAGACTCCAGGAGCGAGGGCGGGTGCAGTCTGGGGTTGCCAGGCGACGTAGAAGAAGATGAGGACGATGATGAGGACGATATGGGTCTGAACCAGCCCAGGCTGGGGCCGGGCTTACTCTGGTGGCTGAGGTACTGAGGGGTGGGCCGGCTGGTGGGCCGGCTGGTGGTCCAGCCCGCCGGAGTGGCTCCTGATACAGACACGCTCGTAGATGCAAAAGGGAGGTCTGGGTAGTAGCTGAGGGCATGGTGAGCGGAAGTCTGCAAGGGGAAGGGTTTGTAGAACCCATTTCCAGAGAAGTCCCCCTCGTAGGAGGAAGTGAAGTCGAGACGATTGGTGGCCACACCCTGCTGAGGCGGTAGGTACCAGCGGCTGTGAGGACCCGGGCTGGAGGACGGGTCTTTGTGCTGCTGGCCCATACCGAGGGGCTCGCGGCCGTAGAAGCGGCTCTGAGGAAGAGGGCTCATGTACTGCTCAGAGAGGTAGCCTTGGGGGTAGCAGCTCCCTGGCAGCAGCTGCTGGGTCTCAGTAGGGGAGGGGGTGAGGCGATCAGAGTCGGGAGGAGCATACAGCCTAGGCAGGAGGGGAAGAGACGAGAGTGTGAGAAGAGAAGAAAAAATAAGGTGTTATTTCCTGCCCAAACCTCAAACCATCTATCAAACATCTCACAGCCCCTCACACCCTCACACTGCAGCACGCTCGAGCAGAATTGCACCTATTCTAATATTTAAAGGGAAACACTTAACATACACCAGCAATAATTTTGCAAAGAAAATGCAAGGTTCAATAAACAAGGCAAGTACAAGAGTAACTGTATGTTGTTTCCCCAAATCTAGCTTTTTTAAATAGTTGACTTACGTGTCGTAATTGTCGCGGAAACCTTTAGCGAAGGGGTTATGGTCTATTTTCAGCTGAGTGATCTGTGTAAGGAATAGGAGGAGGGCAATGAGAGAATGTAGGCTTAGGAAAAAAGAAAAGGAGTGAGCAACCACACAAGAGAAACAAGTGAACAGAGACAGAGGAGGTCATTGAGTAATAATTAATGAGGATAAAAGGCAATTGGAAAGTTTATCTTTAGAACACACCATCATACAAACAGGGCGAGTGTATGCTTTGGATTACAGTAACTCTTACACAATGTATTTGAACCGCTGTTATCGATATATACAGCACATATTGTGGAGCTACATCAGGTCAAACAAGGTGAAGTGACTTTTAGTTGAACTTAGCCACTGTATAGTAACTGCTGTGAACACTTACAGTAGATTGTAGGATTGTTAATAAGAGTGTGTGCATTTTCGATGCGCACATGCATTAACCAAAGCTTCTATTTAAGCATGACTGTAACATGAATCATTGAACTCTATATATAAATAAATGGTGGAGAAGAGATGCTGTTGTGAATTCAGTAGATCTTGCAATAAACAAGTGTGGAAATTAAATAAATGAAGTTTCCCTAATCGTAGGTAAATCCGTGTCAGAGTGGATTTAACATAAATTCACAATTACAAAAAACTACGAATAAGACTTACATCTGCATTTTGATAAGCGGTGACAGCGATGAACTGATTCTCGGGGAAGATGAAGGTCTGAGTTTTGGATGAGAGGAAGGGGTCTTCAGAGCCGTCCTCCTTCACCTCCACGATGTGAAGGCGAGGCTGGTACTTATGGAGCGACTGGAGCACGATCATCTGAAGAGGAAAGACAGGTATTTTTGACACCTTTTGACAGAAAATAAATTATAATCAAACAGGAAATGTAAGGAAAACAGAGAGAAAATAAGGCATTTGGCTGGATCAAACCAAGTGTCCAAGGAACCTAATATTACTAATCTTATCTGTGTATATTTCAAAAGTTTAACACAAATCAGTGGTCTGTTAATATCATGCATTGACACAGAATTATGAATGAAAAGACAAAAGGTGGAAGGCGAAGAACAGGAAATTGTACCTGTCCAACATTATTGGTGCTGCCCTTGTTGTTGGTGAGCTTGAGTTTGCTGAAGGACACTTCCTGTCTCATCCAGTGAGCTCCTGTGTTGGGAGAGTCAGGGTGCGTGTACATCCGGTTTCCTATAAGTGCAAAAAAACACCATGAGCAATATGTATTACATTTTGAGAGTATTTTTTTTGCCCATAACACTGTTATAAACAGTGCAGTTATAAAAACATAATAATTATTGATGATTTTTGGAAACTTGCATCATTTTCAAAGATAACAAAAACATGGTATTGCAATAATTTGTTCTAATTTAAAAACAACAATTTTCAAAGGCACAAGAACCGGATAAAAAAAAAAATTCAAAAATAATTCATTAAAATTGAAATAAATAAAATAACAGTAAATCAATAATAATAATAATTCTGATAATTAAAATAAATTGGAAATATATATGTCAATTTCAAAAGCTGTAAATAATGAACAAGTTATTTGATGCTAATATTTTTCCAACACAATTCATCGCTCTTCTTGGTTGATTAAGTTTAAAGGGTGGAATGTGAGGAGCTGTTTTAAAAACAGTCCATTATGTGACCTACAATCAAATTCATCTCATTGGTTAAAATGCCAGTTTCCATCCCTTTTATATTTAATAAATATTCTTATTGCAGGATATTATCACAGCGACATGATGTCTCACAGCCTTACCACAATGGCCTTGCTAACCTTTTACGATCAGACCACATAAATGAACTATTAAATATAATTGACAAAAGTTGTTTTACCACAGTTTCCACAACTGTAGCACATCAGCAGTCACCTTTCCCCAACACATGGCATACGTGTGACAACACCCTGTACTTTCTCTTTTATTTCTATAAATGTGGCTAATCCTCAATCACACACAACATTTAATCTTGTCTGACTATTGTGTTTTTTTCTACGAGGTGTGAACAGGAAGAAATAGTTGTTAAACGAAGAAATAGTTGTTAAACAGAGGAAGAGAGAACGGGGAGAACGTAACATGGATTGAAGCAGAAAACTGCTATGAAATATCATCTATCTCCAGTATGCCATCTTTTCATGGGCTAAGAATATCCCAAATACTTAATTTATAAAACTGTAAAGAAACAATAACAGGTAAGCAAAAACAAAAACATGGGAGATGGAAGAATTTCATTGGGCAGCTTCTAAATTTGAACATTAAGAAGCAATGTTGATACAAAATCCTGTAGATTTATTTCATAGACAATTTGCGATCAAGATACATAAAACACAATTTAATTCTGATTGACAAACTTTCTCAAACCTAATTTTGCATGTCTGTCATGCAACAATAGTTATTAGCTGACATATGTACTGATACAATACATATGCAATAACTTAATATTGGCCAATATATAATATATATGTCTGGCTCTTTTTGAAACTTGGTACATCGAATAGGCCATGTTTTATGGAGCTGATAACATCTGCACTAAGGCCCATAAAGCTTTTTTTTTATTTAAAGAGGTGGAACTCTTTAATGCTAACGTTTTTTTTAAGCTAAATGCACTCTTAAACTTGATTTATTTCCAATTTATTTGAAGTAATTGATGCTTCTTTCCCCACCTTCTTATCCAACACCAACTTTCACAGTCTCTGTCCCTCCCTACACCCCCCCTGGACGCCATTCTCCATCCATCCACCAGATGCCCTCAGACTTTTCCGACCTGTTCCAGTCACATGACTCTCTGCTTCACCTGCTCACCTGTTTCCACTCTCCCTCAACAGCCCTGCAGTATTTAACCGGCTTATTTCCTCTTGTTCCTGCTTTTTGTTTCCTGTGCTCAGAGGTCAGGTTATTTTCACTGCCAACCTGTTGTCAGCCTGTAAGCCTGTTCCTGACCATTTTCTTGAGTAAGTTTCCCTTAATCCTATCTGCCTGCCTGATTTTGAGATCTCCACCCATTGCTGCTGAAATTAATTATCGTATAACCTACATGCATGCAGTAAATTCATTTGTTTCTTTACCTTTTTTTATTATTTATAGCTGTAAAATATGAAGGAAGGTGACCTAGGTCTTAATGGCCTACAAAACAAATGTCCAGTGAATTTAAGCCGGTACAATCTACTATAAAGTGACAAAAAATGAACTCTTAATTACTAAAAATGTTTTCATTGGACATTGATTACTTCATAAGGGCCATCATTTAGACAAAATTGTAGCCCATTTAGCTTTAAAGGAATATTTACCCAGCAATGCATACTTTCTGAATTGCTCACACAATCTCTGCAGGATGTCAGAAGAAGCTGTTGACCTCAACAACAGAAAATAGAATCTCACACATGTCCACAGAAACCTCTCAAACTACTTGTGCATGGTGATGTAGGTTGGTTACAATATTGCTAACTAAACCACTTCCTCAAAAGATTCTTCAATTTTGCATGCAATAAGTTGCATGCTTCCGATTATTGATTGTTAAGGGAATCTGCTCCTCAGCTGGTTGTAGATCATATACTTTTGTTAGAAAATGCAGAGAAAAATGTGAGCACATCTTTTTTTTGTCCATTTATGGCTATGGAGCTAAGTGTCCGATTTGTTAAGTTCATACAATTGGCATAAGTATTACGTAAAACATAAACAATCTTTGCAGCTTTAAACATTTTTTGGCCTAAAATACATCAACTTAAATTATGGATAACTTAATGATCAATTATTGTCACTTTAATTCAAGGGATGTCAAATCGATAAAAAAACAAACAGAGAACACATTTTCTCGGTGAGTAAAAGTACTTAAATCTTTAACTTAATTAAAGCAAAACCACATTAAGGTAGAAAACTCATAAAAAAAAGCAGCAATCCATTGAATTTCATTTATTATCCTGTGTTTTGATTTAAAGTACCTGGCATGTTGCCCTCCGCTTTCCCACACTGGACCCACTTGCCGCCCTGGTACCTCCAGTGGTGCTGATCCGCCAGAACCACGTCCACGGAGACGTTATAGTGAGCAGACGGGTCCAGAAGACTGATGTTGAAGCTCAGGAAGGGGAACATCCTCCTGGATAAACACACGGGGAGAAACAGGATTAATCATTTTTAGCATGTATCATTATTTGTTTGTTTTGGTATTGCAAAGGAAAAAGTTACTTGACCAATCAACCAATATTTGTTTGCATTCATTTGCATGACGTTTGTCTCCTCAACTGCTTCAAAGAAGAGAAGAACATGCATGTACTCAACATGAGGAACAGCTCAGGGCAATATTTCCCATTGGGAATTGAATGCTCAAAGTACATTTATGGGAATACATGTACGACCACTACTAGGAGGATTTGACCTACTGAAATTGTGCAGTATTTTTTTTTTCATTTAAAGGGGACTTTTTCTCTGCCTTGAAAGACCAAGAACGATGAAAGAATTTTAGAAGGCGTGCTTACAAATTGCAAAGTCAAAGTGATTCACGGTGTCAAATCTGAAACTATAAATGCAATAGTGCAAGCTGTTTCAGGAGAGCTGTTCCATAGCTGACATGTTTATCGCATTGATGTCCTTTTAGATTAGTAAGCTTTATTTGTGCAGTTTGTCCTTATTTTAGCACCTAATACTTTAAATCACTCTCCATTACCCCAACCCACAGTACCGAATATTTAGTAAATCCGTTCAAAATTTAAAAAGTGAAAATGAATATGCACTTAATGCCAAATGCAAAAACAATCCAGTGAATGGATATTCTACAATCTTGAAAGAATAGTATTAGAAGGAAAGCAGGGAAGTGATTTCCTCTAGCAACTAAAGGATCAAGAGTTTAGTAGAAATGGACGAGAGGTGGAGGGGATGGCTGACAGTGGTGTGCGAAGGTGAATATTTAATACTGCTGTTAATAAAAGATGCCACCACAAGCTGTTCCTGATTGCTGGAGCTCTTTACATGTGAACTTAGTTTGAACACTGAAGCCTTCAGTGAGACGAGGTAACCAGGAGGTCAGGGCGTCCCCGGGCACTGCGGCACAGTGAAGAGAGGCTGGGTTAAACCAAGAGCAAAGGAGACTTTTTGTATATTTGCTCATTTGCATTGTTGCTGAGAGGATAAAGAGCTCTTTTGGTAAATGAAAAGCTAAAGCTACTAACCTATTAGCTCAGCATAAAGACTGAAAACTAATGCCCTGACTGGGGTTATCTCTATGTGCCATGGTCTTGATTTGAACTAACATTGTAAGAAATTGGTTAGTGAAGGTGAATCTTAGATCGAATTGCAAAAAAACAAATTAAGATGGATGTTTAGAGTGCAGTTTGAATGGTAAAAATCCATTCCTCACAGTGGTGTAACATCAGTCGGCTATAAGCGGAATGTTGAGAACATTTCCAAATACGTTCTTGAGATCATAAATCACTTTTTTATTGTGTCATATTACGAAGATATCAGCTTGATGGACATAGGTCCCTCGGAACATGGATATGTTTCAGGTGGCTTTGTTGAAAGGGAAACAATGCAAATAGTCTGCAGCCATACAGTAGGCAGTAGACTATGAGAGGGACTATTAGAGGGACTATTTGCTGGTTCTTCTTCAGCTTAGTTGGCAGTGCATTGAGCTAATGCTAACATCAGTATGCCAACATGCTCACAATGACAATACTAACATTCTGATGTTAAGCAGGCGTTATATTTGCCATGTGAACAGTCTTTGTTTAGTGTGTTAGCATGCTAACATTAGCTAATCCGCCCTAAGCCAACAGTAGAGCTGATGCTCATGGGAATACATTAGCTTAATTATGTTTGGATATACTGTATGTATGTCTCTGGCATTTTCCCATTAACCAATATTGGATACATAAAACAAATTGGCCTGATGGGGCGAGAGGAAAAAAGGATAACCTACGTTAGAATGTATCTTGGATGGATATCTGTGCCAAATTGTAATGCAATCCATCTTTTGTGTACAAAAAAATCAAAAAGATTCAACCTGTGGGTGGGGCTATAGCAGTGGTTCTCAAAATGTTTTGGTTGGTGCAGCCCCCATTTATTATTCATTATCCAGGTCCCTAACACCCGCCAACCTCCCCCCATCAATTAAAATGGAGGCTAAGTGTTATTTCCTGAACATTAAGTCTCATAATAAAACATATAATTAAATGCATAGTAATAGGTTTGATTAAACTACACAATAGTAATCTTCTCATTTAACTCTGAAAGAGAACAAATAAGGGTACTTCCCAAGATAAACTTGGCTCAGTGTCTAACTGAATGTGGACTGATTAACTCACTTCATCCTCTATGTATTTGCATTTGAACTTGCGCTGCACTCTGGGTCTATATGATGTCCCCTGTGTGTAATAAATCAGGGCAACATGTTTGACATTTGGCCCAGCTGTTTGACACAGGCTAATAGCACCTGAGGCTATGGAGCATTTGTGTGATAGGCAACCAACACCACCACTGAGTTGCTACAGTGCATGGCTAAATTAGTCAATGAGTGCAAGGACTGTACACAAAAGAGAAAAAAAACGTACTTTTCAGAAACGCCCTTTTCTTTCTTTTAAAACGTGTTTCTTTGGGTGGAACAGATAGATAAGATCTTATGTTTCCAGTATTTGATCTCTTGATGGTTTGTAAAACAGTGTAGATTTCTAAAAATAGTTCAGTTTGAAAATGCAGGCAACGCCAATGTTAAGAAGCGAATGTTGGCAGTTTAGGCAAACTACAAACACTGTGATCTCGCACTGTCTTCCCTGAAGCAGTTTGGTTCAGTGGTGTAAATACAAGGGAGGTGTGAAGAGACACTTATCCCTCCTGTTTGATAATGTTTGATAAAAAACTACAGATAAACTCTAGATAAATAATTGGCAGCATTGAAACACTACTCAGCCCAACAAATCCTCACATACTTCCTAAAACATTAACACTGCTATCCAAAAAGTCGAAAGATTATTTATTTTTGATTGTCTTAAAGAAAATGGAATGCAAATATCACGATCTTTGCATGCATACTTTATTTGTTTCTTTGAATTTGCCTTGTTCATTCTAATTTGTGACTTTTTTTTTGACTTTATTCTGAACAGTGCCTTTGAATGACAACATGTGGAAAGAACACACACACACACACACACACACACACACACACACACACACACACACACACACACACACACACACACACACACACACACACACACACTGGTAAGACAAACCCTGCCCTGAGCGGTCCCAGTTGGGTCTTTCTGGCTACATGGCGAGTCCAGTTTAACAATCAATCATAGTTCTGGGTGAAACTGAATCGTGGCAGCATCTCTTCACTGGCTCGCAAAGAACAGGTGAAAGGTCTCCTCTTCCACTGCACAGTTTAATACAAGTGAAAACAGAAACTCTGCTGTTCAGCGTATGAATGGATCCACCCGCCTACACTGTTCGAAAGTCATCTAGAAGGAAGATGAGTAGTTATCATTTTTGCTTCGTTGATATTGTCGATTCACTAACACTAAAGCCTTTTATAGGAAATCAGAACTTGGCAGGGGGAAACCATAGAAAACACAACACAGAGAGGTATTTGCATGCGAGGGCGGCACTTGATGCACCAAATTTAGAGAGGGAAGCTGAAAAACGCAGTTAGTGGTTGTGGCGTGGTAAAGAAGCATACAGTCGCTTCATTGCCTTCTTATTAGTTTGACACACAGTTTCCACCTCAGAGAAACCGTTTTGCTTGTTTGCAGTACATTGATGCACAAATCCACTTGACTAGCTTGAGCACAAGTAGGAATCAAACCTGCAGCTCCACAGCAACCAGACAGACTCCCCAACCAACCTGCCAGGGTGCTGCTCTGATTCACTGGAAACCTTGACAGTAATGAAAACTGGCTGGCACTGTGATCCAGGTGTTTGTATACGCACATGAATACTCATAACTGTAATCTTTTCATCAGAGCAAATACCAAAGAAACAGACGAGTGTGGTGAACCAGCCAGTAATACAGAGAGAGACAGTACCGCTGGTGGTGACGTTTAAGAGCAAATCAAAATAAACTGAGTGGATGTTGGAGAGAGAGAGGAAAGGGGGGGAGGGTTTGGGTAGAGAAAGAGCGCGGGAGGGGGAAACAGAGGTTAGATAAAGGGAAAAGGAAAGAGCAGAGGGTGGAGCGAAGGGGGGGAGGTGGAGGGTTTGTCCTGGGGATGCACGGCAGAAGAGGAGAAGAGGAACTAGATATTCACCAGGGAGAGGACTTTTCTACATGAGTGCACCCGCTGATTCATCCAGACAGGAGTTCAGGTCCAGTTTTTGTCACCGTGCGTACGTTTGATCATCTGTGACGAAAACATGCCATTCTACAGCTGCTGCCGGACACAAGCACTCTCTAACAGACACTCCTGCTTCTCTATTGACCTATTGCAGAGGAACTCAGTGCCTAACATTGGTAAAATGTAAATGTTGTTGTACAGGATGTCATTTGATAATGCTGATTTCATGGTTCATGCTTCATAAAGGATGATGCTGGTGTTTTGTCTTTCTCTTATCTAGAAATCTGATTGAAAGACCAAAACCAACAATCTGTTTGTCTCTGTCTCAATACTTCCCCCTGGTGCCTCAACATCATTTGTAAATAATAATAAAATAGGAATACAATACAAATGTTTGTTAATTTGTATTAAGGCTCATCAACAGCTGGGCACTGTAGTACATTTATTTTTGGACTATTTTCAGCAGCGGATTAATCCACATTTGTTGATCCAGTAAGTATTTGTGGAAGCAGGTCGGTGTAGGTGGGATTGAGTCAAAAATAAACGGTGTGCGTGTTCATGGTAATGAAGAAATATGTCACCAAGTGCAACAGTGGCTCATTGATGTGTTTTATAGTTTCGGTACAGAAACAGAACTCTGTGAGACAGAGGAAGAATATTTTAGTCTTTGATGCACACGCAATACTTGTTAGTCGGATCAATATATTGTTTTGTTGACCAAAAGTAAAAAATTCTAACTCATAGTGAGAAAAATTGTCGTAATATTTGGAATCTAAATAATCACAATTAGCAGTTTATTTTCAGTCCTCTCAGCCTCCCATGTTTTAAATAA